TGTAGTTTGGAGGATTTCCCCCTGGGGAGAGACGCCTAAGCAGGGCTAGTCCCTCATGACTTTGAGGTAAGGAAATGATTGGATCACTGTCTAAGAACTAGTTTAAAAAAAAAAGCGTCCAATATCTGTCGGCCCATGAATATTACTGTTGGCTTAGTTAGCACAGCCATTCAGAGTACTGGGGGCTGACCCACCTGGGAATGTAGGTTCAGGGTAAGAAACCAGGTTAGTCTTTGAAGATAATTAGGGCACAAATAAGAAACACCTCATAAGGGCCTGAAGTCTTTAAAGGTCAGTTCTGGCCAGCCAGCTACAGAGCCATGTGACTAGAACTGAGTTAATACCAAGGCTTTGGCCAAGAAAACATTTAGGGAGGAGGGACTCAAGAAAGGGGGAAGGAAGTCAATAAGCATTTGTTCAGCACCTGCTATACTTAAAGTACTTTAGAAATATTATCTTATTTGACCCCTGCAACAACCCTAGGAGGTAGGTGTTATTATCGTCTCATTTTACATTTGAGGAAACTGAGGCAAACAGAGGTTAAGTGACTTGTCCAGGATCATACAGCTAGTAAGTGTCTGAGTCACATTTGAATTCAAGTCTTCCTGACTGTAGACCCAGCTCTCTCTCTCCATTATACTATCCAGTTACCTAGGTGCTAAATGTGGTTGGAGGATCAGAATTTGAAAATATTGAAACCTGATAGGGTCTGAGAGTTGGAAGGGACCGTGGAGAATAGTTCTTACTCTTGTGTGTTCTCTTGTGGTACTTCCTATAAAATACCTAAGAGTTAGATGTGCTGGTTGTCAATAGGCAGGGAAGGAAGCTCAATAGCAGGTAATAAATGAATAATTCTTAAAGAATCCAAATATCAGCCCTCGAGTTGTTCTACCAGGAGAGATGCACAGTGATGTAGTGGAGGAAGCTCTGGCCTGGGAATCTCGAAGGCCTGGGCTCAGACCCTTGCCTTCTGGGTGCCCTGGACCCCTCTCTTAGGACCAAATTGCAAAGAAGGTGTTCACCTGTATTGGTAGGTGTTTTCTCACCTAGGGGTCCCCTGCTTGTACTAGTGAAATCACAGATCCATCCGCTATACCTGCCAATGTTTTTTATGGATAAAATTAGGCAAGAAAAACAAAAGTGTTAATAAGTAAAACAGTCAGTGAAGCCAACCCCACTTTATCTAGTTGGAGCACCACATCCCTAATGTAGAAGAAGGCAGGGATGGCAATTATCTCTCCAGTTTGGGTTTATTTCTAGGGATTGTGTTGTGTTACCAAATTTTGAAAAACAGTTTAATAGGCCCAAAGGTGTTTATAAACCAAATAGTGATTTAAGAAAAAAGTCTTAAATTTTAAAATTGAAAATATAGTGAACCTAAGCAGTTCTCCAAAGTACTAATAAAATGTACCAAGTAAAGGAAAAAAGTGAAAATCATTGTTAAGCATCTTCAGTGATGAATGCCCCCCCCACCCCCTGACCCCTGAAATCCAATATTTTTCCTAGGTCTAAGACATGGAAGTAATGCCAAGTAGTCATTTCCTTTCCACCATCGATACATAATATCGATAGGATTGGTTTTTTTTCCTCCTGTTACCTTCACCTATTTGGGTACCATTGGCCGCATGGGTTTTTGTTTTTGTTTTACATCACTTTAAGAGCTCTAGCTTCAAAGTTTCCTTTGGAATCTTGGTTAAAGTGAAGGGTTCCCCCATTGCCAAGGGGGTCAGAGCTGACTCTGTAAGGGTGATCCACACGGCTACTTTGGGCATGAAGAAAGAGTTTCCCTCTAAGTATTGGTGCCTGGAGTCCCTTCTCCTGGGATTGAGCTTTGCTTCCCTCTGGTCCTTATTTTAATGATTCAGTTACTGAGTATGTTCTCTTGAAAACAGATTTAGAACACATTTTTTATGTGCCTCTCTGTATCCCGCAGAGGGAATTAAAACATTCGGAAAACTAGCACAGTCCAGACTCAAATAATTAAGTTAAAATAGGGCATATTTAGGAAATGAAATAATACTTCAGGGAGCTTGAGCCACTCTTCTAAATGTGTCCAGTTTTGATCATCATTTAAACAGATATAATTTTGGCACCACCTTATTTCCCCTCATGAGTCATTAGAATGATCCTGATTTGGCCTTCCTTTTCAGAGATGTTGGGGAGATGGAGTTAGGGAGAATGAGGGTGTGCAGGGTGATTAGAGTGCAGGAAACCATGCCATCAGTGTATCATTTGGAGGGGACGGAGATTAGGAATGGGGGATGTTAGTCTAAAGAAGACTTAAGATGGACACAACTGCTCTTTTCAAGAACGTTGAAGGACTGTTATATGGAAAAGGAAACTGAGGCCTACTGGATCCAAGAGGATATAACTTGGAGCAGTGAGTTTGCAGAAACAGGTTTCCAGGAAGATTTTCCTCATAGTTAGAGCTCTCTCAAAGAAGGAGGAAAGTCCTGGGCCTAGGTAGCTTCATATGGTCACAGAATGAAAATATTTTGGAGATCTTGGAGATCATCAAATCTGAACCCCCATTTTACAGATGAAGAAACTTGAGTCCCCAACAGATGAATAAAATGACTTGTCCCAGGTTAGATCATTGTAGTAGGGACAGAGCCAGGACTAGAAGCCACACCATTTCACTCTTGCCCCAGTGCTCCCTACATAGCCCAATGCCTGTCATGGGCCAGAGAATTTAGAGGTAGAAGAAATTTGTGATCAGAGAAAGAAAGTGATTTGCCCAAGGTTGCACAGGTAGAAGAGCCAATATTTGAACCCAGGACTTCAAGTTCAGTTTCTTCTCCCCTATTCCATTGCTGCCTTTTATGTGAGTCCAGTCTTTTCCTGGCCCAGGTTTTCCTGGCCCAGGTTCTTATGCTTGGCTCTCAGAAGTCTGTTAGCTGCCGCATTCTATCTTCTTTCCGTCCCAGGTATAAGGGTCACCCGTTGTCCATTTCACTGCCCATTTTGGTAAGAGCTTTGCTCTGCTGATTCTCTGGTCGCTGCCCTGCTTTAGACAGCTTATACTGAATTCTTTTCACCAACCTATGCTTGTCTTCTTTACTTGCTGTTCTCTGTTCCCTTCTCACTAGGAAGCCTTTCATCTCCCACCAAATTCATGCTGATTACTCCTGGTCCTGAGCTTTCTTATTACAAATGAACCCAGACTACATCAAGGTTTTCTGTGCCCCTGTCTCTCCCTTCTCCCTCCCCACTTCCCCTGTATTCAAGGTGGCTTATAAGATAGGCTCTGTCCTCCTGTCTTCTTTCTACTTGTGGGGAAAGATATTTAGAATGGAGGTGCTAGGTTTCTAGACTATATGATCTTTAACTCTGAGATCTGTCTTCTGAGAAAGTTCAGGAGGCCAGATAACAGGTTATTGAAAACATTATATAGCCTTGCATGAATCTAAAATATCTGCGCAGAAAAAAGAGAATCAGATTAATCTGAGCACTGAGAATTCCAATTTTACAGTAATTAAAATGCCTTATTACAGGACCTTTGCACAGGAATTCCTACTTCAGGTGCTTCTGAAATTCAGTGGACTTTGACTGTAGGGTTAAGGACCTTGTTATTTAATGTTGGTAATAGTTAACTCACTTTCCTGGTAAAAGTCTTACTTCCTTCATCTCTCTATTGGGTTCCCCTTGCTGCTTTCCTTTTCTTGCTATTCCCATTCTTACTGCACCTCCTTCAGGGTTAAGGTGTTCAGAAACCCAGAAAAGGTTATTTGTACCATTTAAAAGTTTTCTGTACATGGCCTTGAGCTCTCAGAAAATGGAAGCTCCTTAGAGTTCTGATACAAGGGAATGAGCGTTGTCCACATATGCAGCAGATTCCTTCTGGGTTTTTTTTTTTTGTTTTGTTTTGTTTTTCTTTTTCTTTTTTTTTTTTTTTTTGAAGAAAGGGGAGAGGCCACACATACCTAAGACCCCTGGAACTGTGACTAGCACAAATTAATGTGTTGTTGCTTAATTAACACCTTCTGTGGTAGACACTAGCACTTTGTGGGCACTTGATGGGAAAATCAGACCATGTTTTTTTAGTGACACAGTTTTTGTCTATGATAAGCTTGCATTTTTTTTTTAAATTTTAAAAAGCTGTTTTAAAGTTAGTGGAAAATCCTTCCATTTCTATATTTTAGTGTGTGGTTTTAAAAAACATAAAAGATTGCTGCATTTTTATCAAAGGTCTTTTCTCCCTCCATTTTTATAATCTTCCTATGATATGATTTGTTATATTGATTGTTTGACTACTATTGAACCAAACTTGTATTCCTGATATAAATATTAGTTGGTCATATTGGATAATTTTTAATTCAATTCAATAAGAACGCATTCAAGAAGCCTTTATTAAGAACCTACTATGTGCCAGGCACTGGGGAATGCTATAGGAATACAAAGATAAAAACAAAACAAGTACAGAGATAAATATGACATAAATGCCAAGTAATTTGTGGGTAGAACACAACTATTGGGGGAATAAGGAGAGGTCTGTCATGGGAGGTGACACACTTTAAGAGGCAGAGCCAGTGAGGGAAGGCATGCCAGACATGGGCTGTGACCTGTGCAAAACCTCTCAGGTGGGAGATGGAATTTTGCGTACTCAAGTAGGTCAGTGAGACTAAAACGTAGAATACATGAGAAGGAATAATGGGAAATCAGTCTTGAAAGATAGGAGCCAGATTGCTGACAGGAGTCTTTGTTTTATCCTCCAGACAGTTGGGAGCAACCAAAGCTTCTTGTGGACGAGAATGGCATTGCCAGACCTGTGCTAAGAAAGGTCACTATTGGTTATCTCACAAGAGGCTCTCATTCCATTGTTTATCTGAAGAGGCTCTCATTCCATTATTCAGCACATTAAATTCAATGTAGCTAATTTATTATTAAGCACTTACTTTGGTCCTCTATCCTCATTTGCCAGTGTTTTATTTAATACTTTTGCACTATTATTCACTAATAATAGTTACCTATATTTCTTTCTCTTTTTCTATTCTTGACAGGTTTGGGGATCAGAACGACGTTTGACTCCTAGAAAGAATGAGGTAGAATATTATCCCTCACCCTTTTTTGAAATCAGTTTGTGTGGAATGGAGCTAAGTCTTGGAATGTTTGAAGAAATTCATTTGTGCCTCAGTCTGGCCTTAGTTCCTTTTTACAGGGCTGTTCATTAATGACCTGTCTCATTCTTCTTCTGAGGACATATTTAGATTGTCTAAATCTTCTTTCAAAGCCTACTTTGGCATTTTCTAGTTTTGTAAATATATGTCCATTTCTTTTAGATCCTCAGTTTTGCTTTCCTGTAAGTAGGACTATAGCACGTAGGCTAACGAAGACTTAGAACATGTAGTCATGTGATGCATAGGGTGGCAAGGTGGAAAGAGCACAGAGCATGGAGTCACAGGACCCAAGTTTGAATTCCAGACCCCGCAACTCATTGGCTGTGTGAATCACTTAATCTCTCTGAGCCTTAGTTTCCGTATCTGTGAAGTCAAGGGGTTATGTAACATGAATGCTTAATGTTCCTGCCAGTTCCAGATCTGTAATCCTATGACCCCTGGACAGTTTTTATTTCTTTTGAATTCATTGTGAACATCCCCTTGTTCATTTCTGTTTTGGGTAATTTGATTTGCCCCCCTCTTCTTTTGATGAAATAACTTTTAAAGTTTTCTGTCTTATTGACTTCTCAACTTTTAATTTTTCCTGCTTTGTGCTTGTTTTTGGTGTATTAATTTGCTGATTTTTCTACTTTCTTTGAACCACAAACTCAACTGACTGATTTTCACTTTATTTTTTAAAGTGTTCAAGGGTAGGAATTTGCCCCATAATATTGCTTTGACTGTATCTCATTAATTTTGACAGATTTGAAAAAAGGAAACCACTTAGGAGGGAAACCAGAGGGCACAAGCATTCATTAAGCATCTAAGTACTGTGTACCAGGCACTGGCTAAGCACTTTACAATATTATCTCATTTGATTCTCACAACAACCCTGGGAGGTAGGCATGATTGTTATCTTCATTTTACAGATGAGAAAACTGTGGCAGACAGAGATCAAATGACTTGCCAAGGGTCACACAGCTAGTAAGTGTCTGAGGCTGAAAATTTCTCCCCAGGCCTTTGTTACATATGTATTGTGTACGAACTTACAAATGTTCACATTTGTCTCCGTAATTGAACGTGAGCTTCTCAGGAACAGATACTGTTTCATTATTGTTATTAATCCCCAGTGCCTCCAATAGTCTGGAACTCCCTAGGTCCTTAATGAATGCTCGCTGATTGATTCATCTAGTCCAACTCAAATACAAAAAAGAGTCCTCATAACAACCACCCTGAGTTAGTTGCCACCAAGCCTTTGCTTGAAGACCCCAGGGAAGAGGAATCCACCCCTTCCAAGGTCACCCTTTCCGCTTTCCTTGTATCAAGCCCAAATTGTGGAAAATTACATTTTTTCTTTCTTAACCTCTAATTGAAATTTCTTTCAATCAGGAACATGAACAACAAGCCACAGTAATATTCTTCTCTAGAATGTCAAAGGGGTCCATTACCCAAAACAGGTTAAGAAACCTTGGTCTAAGTGACCCCTGAGGTTCCTTTCACGTCAGACATTCTGTGATTTTAGGGAAAAATGCTCTGAACAGTCACTGGCTCATCTGAGCTTACTAGGAACCAGTTCAGTGACTCTTTTCTCCTTTACTTTTGCCTTCAGACATGCCATGATCCACAGCTAAATCCCAATTAATATGAATAATAAATTCTCCAGAAGTGTCACATGTATTTGAATTTGTACTTTTTGAAGACATAATTATGTAAAATATGGTAATTGATGACAGCACAATGGAAATATGCAGTGAGGATTTGTTTAGTGTAACCATTTAAGGAGATTCATTTGCATTAATTGGGATCTAGATGCATAAAAATCTGAATCTACAAAATACATAATTTATGGTGGAGGTGGTATTCACATTACAAAAGGATTCACTGTAGGGTTCCTTTAAATATTGTTTTCCTAACCATTTAAAAAAAATCTATCTTATTATAACATTTTAGAAATCTGTGTACCTGCTTCTCTCTTTTATGGGAAACAGTCCTCAGACTGAACGTGCCTTAAGGATCAGAACAATTTTGCCTTTACTTGGGATTGGTTTAGCTCTGATACAGTAGAGATATTTTCAAGATTGAACTGTCTAGCTGGGAACTGTTAAGGAGGGCCAACTAGTTTATCTTAGAGTTGTTCAAACAAATTCTTTGTGCTTGTCTGAGCTCGTCTCCTGGAAAGGGGATGGTAGATGGCTGGACATAGTGGGTCAGCTGCCATGTTGGATCAGTTAGTATTCTCATTCACCACCGGGAAATCTCTACTATTTTCCTGACCCTTTGCTTCTTACTTCTTAGATTGCTTTTGCCCAGGATATCTCTTAGTACGTACATTTCATAGACTTTTTAGTTTTTTTACCTCTTAAAGTTTCCCTTAAGCCTAATGTCTTCAGGAAGCGTTATATGTTTTCTGCTTCCCAGATGGCAAGCCGGCCTGGAGTCATAACTTTTAAAAAATTAATGAAGCCAGCTTTGTAGCCCCCAAGAACGACATTGAAATAAACCTCAGGGAGTTCACAAGTGTGCTTTTTATGATGGTCTGGTTTTTTTTTCCCCCTACATGACCATGATTTGCATATTGCTCTTACCAGAATTTTTAGAATAAACATTTTATTGATACTTTTAAAATGTTGCCACTACTCCCCAATGACTCTTCGCTACCACTGAACCCTCTTTGGTAACAAAGGAGTACAGTTAAGTGAAACAAATCACCACGGTTTTCTGGCATTATATGTCTCTTTCCGCATTGATGGTCCCCTACCTCTTTTCTAGTAGGAGGAAGATTACTCCATTGTCTGTCCCATGAAGTCTTGACTGGATGGATCAGAACTCTTGTGTCTTTCAATACTTCCTTTACTTTATTGTGCTCATTATGTAAATTATTTTGGTTTTGTAACTTTGTTTTACATCAGCTCATACAAGTTTTCACAAGTTCCCTTGAGTTCTTCATATTTATTATTTCTTATAGTTCAACAGTATGGTACATTCATATACCAGCACATTCAGCCAGTTTGTTTATCATTTGATGAGCTTCAACTTTGTTTCTAATTCTTTGCTACCATGTAGACAGAAAAAATGCTGCTATAAATATTTTTGTGCACATGAGACTTCTCTGCTGATTTGTCCTCCTTTTGGTTTACGCCCTGAGTCAAGGGGGTACGTACGTACAGTTTTGTGCCTTTCCTAGTATAATGCCAAATTGTTTTTCCAGAATTGTTGGCCAAGTTCACAGTTCCACCATCATGGCCAGTCTGATGCATGTGAGGCAGAACTTCAAAGAGCCTGTTTCAGTTATCAAGTATCTTATCATTTGGAGGATTCTTTAGTATGGTTGTTGATGATTTGCATTTCTTCCTTTTGAAAACTTCCTGTTCATATCTTCTGATATCTAGCTCTAACATTCTGTGATTTTAGTAATGGAGACAATGGATGCAAATTTTACGCTTTGGGTTCAAAAAGTACAATGCTACAAAGTACTATGAATGAGATGTATTTAGAAAGCAGTTTATACCAAAAGGGCCTCGGATTTTAGTGGACTATACCATATTATGGGACAGAATGTGACATTGGACCTGAGTGACCCAAACTAAGGCAGTGAGGTGGTGTCAGTGTTACCGTAAGTGCAGGATTGGATACCTTCCAGACCCGGCATCACTTTGCTTTCTGAGTCAACAACAGAAGGACCGTTTTGCCTGGTCTGCGTAGTTCCTGAGCCTTGAACAGGATGTAGGAAAGTTTTGGTTTGTGGCTAAGTAGAACAGCAAGATGAGTAAGTAGATGGCTTTTGTTCTTATATGTTTGTTGGTTTCCTGTACATCTTGGGTATCAGACATTTGTTAAATAAATGTGCAACAAAATTTTTTTTCTTAATTGATAGTTTCCTTTCTTATGCTAGTTATATTAATTTTTGTGAAATTTTTAAAAAGTTTGTGTAATTAAAATTGTTTTATATAATAATCTCTGTCCTTTGATTAAGAATTTCCCCATGCCATAGTTATACAAGATACATTTTTCCCTTCTCCTTCAATTTTTTTTTTTTAGGATTTGACTTTTTCATGCTTGGATCATATATCCATTTTGAATTTATTAGTATTTTTGGTAAAAGATATTGACCTAAACCTTATATTTTTCATCAAACTGCTTTCCTTTTTTCCCTATAGTTTTGGGTAATAGGGAGTCTTTACCCTAGTACTTTGTATTCTTGGGTCCCATGACCATTTTTTTTTTCTACAGCTATACTCGCATTTAATATGATTCTTAATTATACAGCCATTCTTTGGGGCCATCCTTATAGTATGTTGTATAGGTACAGAGAGCTGAGATAAAGTGAAGTTTGTATTTCAAGCTCTACAGTAAAAATGCCTTTTTAAAAAACTAAATATTAAAAATTAAATTAAAAATAATATATGATTTGGAGCTGGAAAAGACTTTAGATAGCTTAGATATCTAAAGATATCTTATGGACTGGATATCATTTAGTACAAAGGTGTCAGACATGTGGCACTTTTATGGAACTGGAGCCAGATTAAAATGTAATTGGCAAATATTTAATAAAATAAATAAAAGTAGAGTAAAACGTAGTTAACATTACAGTTTAAAACTAAGCTGGTATGCAACCTGCAGGGAACCTTATGTAGGGAATAGTGACCCCTATTCCTAAACCCCTTAATAGCTGTTGCAAAATCCACTGGAAATTTCCTTAATAGCCATTAGTTTGATTTGTTGATACTCTGGCAGATGGCAGTTAACCATTTTAAGGGAAAAAATATTTATTGGGTGCCAACTATATACAAAGCATTATATTAGACACTGTGGCTATAAAGGCCAGACAAAAACCAAAAACTGTCTTATCCGCAGGGAGCTTGCCATCCTGCTTGTAGGGATATAACATTTACACAGATAATTTGAGGAAGCAGAGACCACTAGCAAGTAGAAGGATCTGAAAAGACCTTTATGGCTGGGGTGGGGGGGGTGGAACCTCACTTGGGGGAACCCAGGAGTTCCAAGAGGCAGAGGGAGTGGGTAGGAAAAGCCTGTGCAAAGTGGAATCCTGAGTTTGGGCCAGACATAGAATGTGGGAAAGTGAGTTCTGTGTGGTGAGTGTGCCGAGATGGTCTGGAGCCAGATTGAAGGGCTTTAAATGCCAGCCAGATACTATATGAGCAGCGAGATGGCGCCCTGGTGCCTAGGTCACTGGAGTCAGGAAAGACCAGAGTTCAAATTCAACCTCAGACACTTACTAGCTGCGTGGTCTGGGGGAAGTCACTTAGCCCCCCTGTCTGCTTCAGTATCCTCATCTGCAAAATGGAGATAATAATAACACATGTCTCCCAGGGTAGCTGTGAGAATAAAATGAGATCATATTTGTGAAGGACTTTGCAAACCTGTTATTAAATAACCACACACACAAGCAGGTTGTATCTGAAGCAACCAGGCCTGGTATACGAAGGAAACATTTATTTAAGTGTCTACTATATACAAGGTACCAGGCTAGGTGCTCAAGGGGATAAATGCAAAACAAAACAAAACAGCTCCTGCCTTCAAGAACTTATAATTTAATAGGACAGTTTCTACTATGTACAGAAATAAGTATAGTACAGGATATAATATGAAAAGGGCCTGGAACACATCACTTTCAGTGGGGTGGAGGGAATTAAAATAGGCTTCAGGAAAGAGATGGCACCTGAGCCCCGCCCTTGATGAATGAGCAGGATTTCATCAGATAGAAATGAGGAGGAAGTTCATTCCAAGAACGTAGGGCAACCTGCACAAATGCCCAAATACCCGGAGATGAGAAACTGCGGGACCAAATGAGGGAACAGCTGGAGTCCAGCTTGCCCCAAATGTAGCATGTGAATTGGGAGTACAATGAAATGAGTCAGAAAATGTGGTGTCTTCACTTGCTAAATGTGGGCTGCTGTCCTTAAGCCCTCTTCTTTCTTATGTTGCTGTCATCTACTTATCAACTCCTGGCAGTGGACTCACACATCTCTGTGTCTAGACCCAGTCTTTCTTTTAAAGTCTGATTCTGCATCTCTACGGAGATTATTATGTGATCAAGAACTTTCAAGTTGGAAGGAACCTTCAACATCTTGTGGAGCTGTCCCTTGTCTTACAGATTAAGAAATGGACTCAGGAAGGTTAAATAATTTGTCCAAGGTCAAACAGGTAGTAAGTAGGAAAGCCAAGTTTAAAACTTGGATTCTCTAATTCCAAATGTAGCATTCTTGATATTGTGCCCTTGATAGAATATGCCATGACAGTTTTCCTCCTACACACACCGCTGGGGCTGCTGGGATCAACTCACCTTGCTGTTCTACTTAGCTACAAACCAGCACTTTCCTATATCCTGTGCAGAACTCAAGAACTAAGCAGACCAGGTAGGCCAAAGGGTCCTTCTGTCATTGAATCAGAAAGCAAAGTGATGCGGGGAGTGGAAGACAGTCAATCCTGCAGACAGTAGAATGTTGCCTCTGCTTTTCTGCCTTGGCTTTGGGTCAGTGGGCCCCATTGGATCCATTAGTAAAGTCACAGAATGCCAGAAGTGGAAGGGACCTTTTTAGAGACCATCTAATAACATTTTAGTATTTTAACTTTTTGTGTATGTGTCATGGCCAGACCCCTTTGATGGTCTAGTGAAGACTAATACTGCTGTGGTATGTTGTCTACGTTCACAATTGAAGGAAATGTGAAATTTCAGCTAGGCGCTGGCAGAAATAACAATATAATTTTTTCTCATGTGTGTTCTCGATTCCCCTAAATTCATAACCCAGAGGTCCACAGACCCCAAGTTAAGAAACCCTGATCTAGCAGATAAGAAAACAGAGACAGACTGGCTAAGTTTCTGGATTACGACAGCTGGATGTTGTCCACGGTCCCTCATTGTGACTCCCAGCGAGATGCTTTCCCCACTGCGCTGCATTGCATCCCTGCTTTAAGTGCACCGTGTGGTGCTCTCACTTCTCAATGAGTACTTGTTCCCCACCCCCACTCCCCCAGCAGAGTGTATATCACAGGAATAGCCATTTCTTGGAAGTCTTTTTAACAATGAACCGGCGATACTTTCCTAGTCAATGAGTGTACTCCTCATAAAGGACAGCGGGGACCATTACAGTCTCATTTAGGGGGCAAGAATCACATGTGTTAAACAACTGCTATTTTAATGATGTGCTTTCATGACTAAATGTCAAGATGTGTAGCCTTTATTGACTGACATTGCTGATGGTGTTAAATTGTAGGGAGTAGTAGTTAATTAATCTAAGTGTTGCTTATTCTTAGTGTTAGTTACCATATGATGATTAGTGTTAAATCTTCTATGGATTGAGTTCTGACAAGAAGATGATAGGGAGAGCTAGTATTTTTTAAATACATATATGTATGTATGTTCATGTATATGTATATATAGTATATGTGCATAGTATTTTATATGTGCACATATATGCTAGTATTATATATGTATATATGTGCATTATATTTACACATACATATATAGTATTTATATGTTTTATAATAATAGAGCTAGTATCTATATGTATATATGTATGTATGTATATATGTGTGTATATGTATATGTGTGTGTATATATATATATGTGTGTATATATATATGTATACTTCTTTATTATAGAGTACTGAACTGAAGGGCCAGACAGACCTAGGTTTAAATCCAGCTTCTGACACAATGATTTTGTGATCCTGAGCGAATGGCCTAACCTCTCTCAGTCTCTGTTTCCTCAGCTGTGAAATAGGGGTAATAAAAGTGCAATCTCTACTTCACAGAATTATTTTGAAACTCAAATGAGATAATGTGTGCAAAGCACATTGTAAACCTTAAAGCCTTATACAAATGTCAGATATGGTTTATTTGTTGTTATTATTATTATTATCCAAAAATATCCCAACAGGCTAGAACAATCGGCCGAAACAAATTGTATGAAAGGGAATCAATATAAAATCCTTCACTTGGGCTCAAAAACTCAGCCACAAAGTACGGTATGAGCAGTTTATACAAAAAAGCCCTAGGACTTTTAGTGGACTACAAGTTCAATATGAATTAGCAGCATGATAGATATACTTTTAGCCCAAAAAGCTAGAAGTGTTTAGAACCTTCCTGATTGTGGTATGGAATAGACCTGCCATACTCTAGTTGGGTCAGGCCAGAGCATTGGGCCCAAATCCAGACACTAGATGTCAAAGGATATTGAATAGCAAGAGCATATACAGAGAAAGGCAGTGGTGGTGAAGGGACTGTGGAAGCGTTATCATAACCCATCCAATCAGTATTTATTAGGAATCTGTTCCATGCATGATACAGCTCTAACAACTGAGGATACAAACAAGATGAGAAATGGCCCGTGCCTTCAAGAGGCTTATTTTCTGAGAAGGAAGGGGAAAGGGGCACAATAGATAAGTAAATATGTAATTTGAAGAAGGGGAAGAGAGCACTAGATAAACCAGGGGGATGAGAGGGTGAAGACTTCTCATAGTCGTAGATTTAGAACTAGAAGAAGAACCATAGAGGCTCTCTACTGCAGACCCCTAATTTAACAAGTGAGGATATTGAAGCTCATGGTTAGAGAGTAGTTGAGCTGGGATTAGGCAGCAGATAAACTGAAGCTCAAAGGAAATAGGAATTTTAAGAGGCGGCGACGAAGAGGGAGTGCCTCCCTGGTGTTAGAAATAACCCGTGTGAAGACATGGAGGTGGGAGATGGGATTCCAAGCTCAGGGTCAGCCTGCCGATCATTTTAGCTGAAACATAGAGCATGTGGAGGGGAGGAAGGTGTCGGTTTCCTGGGATGGTTGGCTGGAGCAGATTGTGAAGGGCTTGTAGGTGCCAAACACCTGAAGGTCGGGTGAAGGAGCAAAAGCTATTTAGTCTAAAGAAGAACAATTTGGGGAGAGCTGGGTGAAACTTTTAAAGAGTTGGCCTTTGGAAGAGGAATTAAACTTGTTCTTCTTGGCGCTACAGAACACAACTAGAACCTACCCTAGGTTAGAGGTTAGAAGACAATTCAGCTCAACATGAGAAAAACCTGACTTAAAATGAGAGCTGCCTAAAAAAACAGAAGGAGCTAGTGGGCCGCCTTAAGGGAGCAACAAATGCTGTCGTGTACCCTGAGTCCCCATTGTGTAATGCTCGTGTGTGTGTACACACACACACACACACACACACACACACACACACATCTTATCTGGATTGCCAGAGTAGGAACTCAGGCTTTAAGTAGGAGTTGAGCTAGATAAGTCTCCGAGGTTCCCTAAGGTTCTATGATTTCCTGCCCCCTGCTTTTTACCAAGAATATGCCTCCTGCTCTCTAAATTTTACATGGAGGCTTCATTGTGATGGGGTAGCCTGGCAACAGCCAGTACACTTGTCTGTCATTCAAGGACAAATCTAGTTAAACCTGGAGAAATTCATTTACCAAAATGTTGGCCATCAGGTGAGGAAATGCTTTGGCCTCAGCAACTTAAAAAGATTATCTTAAGGCATGGAGAACTTGTCATATGCTTCAGTAGGGGGTAGTACCAATTGAGTTAATCACATTATGGTGCTTCCAAGCACGGACTGTTGGAAAGACAGGAGACTGCAAAATGTTCATCAGTATAACTGTGAGCAAGTACTTGTTTCAGAGAAATAGACAGATTTTGCAAGCCAACACAAAGTTCAAGGATATTAGAAAACTGGAAGCTGTCACTGTCTGGTGCAGGGCTCATCATGTTTGTCTTGTTTCCTGTTCTCCCTGGCCCCTTTGCCCATGTAGAAATCGAAGCCAGACCACCTCCTGGTGCTGAAAGTCCTGTGGAAAGATTTCCTGGTGTGCTATTCCTCCCGTCCTCTCCTCTGTTGGTCGGTGTGGTGGGCCCTTTCTACCTGTGGCTATTTCCAAGTGGTGAACTACACACAAGGTCTGTGGGAGAAAGTGATGCCTTCTCGCAATGCCACCATCTATAATGGTGGAGTGGAGGCAGTGTCCACCCTGCTGGGTAAGTCCATCCCAACTCCCGCCTGGCATTGCCACACCCTTATTTCTCATTCGGTTCAGACTGGTCTCTTCGCTCTTTCTTTACAGATGTCATTTTAATCCCCATTTTGAGACTTTTGTTCATGTTCCCCCTTCTTTCCCAAGCCATGTCCTTCAAGGCTCAACTCAACCCCTTCCTCTGTGAAGCTCTCCTTAGCTGGTGTGGCCCAGGGAATTCTAGGCTCTGAACTCCTATTATTCTTAGGCCACACCACAAAATTTCACGCTGAAGATAGTCTTGTATTATTCACTAACAATTCACGTATGGATAACTTGTCTTTTCAATTAAAAACCTGAGGGCAGGAACTTATCTTCTGGAGGCAGCAAGATGCTACAGTGGATAGAGAGCTAGACCTGGAGTCAGGAAAATCTGAGTTCAAATCCTACCTTAGACACTTAGTAGCTGTGTGACCATGGGTAAGTCACTTAACTCCTATCTGCCTCCGTTTATTTATCTGTAAAATAGGAGTAATAATAATAATAATGATAATCATACCTACCTCTTAAGGTTGTTATGAGGATCAAGTGAGATGATATTTGTAAAGCACTTTGCAGATCTTCAAGCACTGTAGAATGCTAGCTATTCTTATACTTTCTTTGGACTCCCCACACCATAATACCACATAGTTGGTGCACAGGAAGTACTTCTTCGTTGATCTACCTCTACAGTCTCTTCCAGATGGCGATAATGGTGGTAATCACAGCTTGCATTTACATGGCACTTTCAGGTTTGTTGAGTCCTTTATAAGCATTCTCTCTTTCTGTCCCCACGATGGTCTAGGGAGATAAGTACCACCAGAGTCATTGTGACATCTGTGTAAATGAGTAACCAGTGTGAGCTCCCTGAGGTTGTCAACTTGCCCGTGCTTGCTTACGTGGTTAGTTAAGCATCAGAGATAGAATTTGAACCCAGATTCCTCCTGACTCCAATCTAGCCCTGTTTCCAGTACCTAATGCTGTCCTTTGACAGGAGATGGATAGGAACATTTCATGGATGACTTCAACGTACTGAGACATCAGAAGATTTGCTGTAGTTCAAAAACTTTCTTCTCAAGCAAAGTTTTGCATTAAATTCCTCTCCATACTACCAATCTAGTATACCTTCTACTAGAACCCCTTTCCTTTGGTTAAATATTTTTCAAATATAAATTTATTTTTTAAAAAAAATTATTGCCTTTGGCTATGTGTGAATTGAAGTTTATTAAATGTAGATATATTTAGTAGGTTGCTGAAGGAGTTGGAAGTGTGTGTTTTTGTTTTGTTTTGTTTTGTTTTTACCAAGCCTGTAGTTTGTTAGTCTGCAGATGTGGGCATAGATGTGCCTTGAAAGGGGGGCTGACACTGGTCTCCACTTTATTCTCTGGGGAAGTCAGTCCAGAGCTGGTACCATAGGGCATGTCTACACCCTTGCTAGGCGTACTTGTGGATGTAACTAATGTGGTTTTTTCTGTTGATGAGTTAAGACCCACAGTTATCCAAGTTCCTCCAAAACTATCACATGCCTCTTTTATTGATTTTACTCATTTGTGTTTTGAGCTGAATTTCTAGGAATTGTGATTTTGTTTACTTAGAAAAGTGATCCAAGTTGCTTTCCTGCCTTCGTTTCTTAGGGGCAGTTGCAGTGTTTGCAGTTGGTTACATAAAAATATCGTGGTCTACTTGGGGCGAAATGACGCTGTCCCTCTTCTCCTTCCTGATCGCAGCGGCCGTGTATGTAATGGACAAAGTGAATAATATCTGGGTGTGCTACTCATCCTACGTCGTCTTCAGAATCATCTACATGCTGCTCATCACCATAGCAACGTATGTATTCAGGTGCCTAGAAGCCTGGAAAAAGGGCATTGAGGCTTTGGGGGAAACAGGTTGTGTTTTCCTCCAGATAGTACCTGTCAGTTTCTTCAAAAACTGAGAAGTAAATTTAATGTTCTACTTTGAAGACAAAAGAATAGTAATTTTTACATTTTATACAATTTACATATACATCTTTATGTAAATATACACAAGACACATACACAAAATATGTGTTTGTGCATATATCCTATCTGGATAGGACACGCCCTGTAGTAGAAGGAGTCCTGGACTTTGAGCCAGAATGCCTGGATCTCAGTTGTTGTTCTGCCACTTTCTGACCTTGGGCAAATAATTTAACATCTTTTAAGTCTGCTTTCTTATCTACAAAATTTCCCCTCCTCCCAGGTGTTGTGAGAATAAAAAGATAAAATTTTAAAATAATTTTGAAAAGCATAAAGTGATTTAGAAAGGTAAGGCTTCTCCCCCCCCCCCCCCCCCCCCCCCCTCTGTGATTTCATCTGTGTGGGAAATTCCCTTCCCTGGTACAAATGGTCAACTCTTTTGTAAGTTAGAGTCTTGAGAGTTGGGTAGGGCACTGAGAGATTAGGCCTTGTGGCCCTGACACAGAGCTAGTACGGGGCAAAGGTAGGACTTAAGCCCAGTCTTCCTGAGGCCTTCCAAGGCTGGCACTCTTGTCACTATGCCAACACCATAGAGTGTCATGAGGCATAATTATATTATTACTGTTATACACACGAATGGAAAAGCATTTATCGTGGGCTCACTCAAGAATCCTTTATGAAACTTTCATGTGTACATTTATATGTAATCCCACGTTTGTTTTTAGGTTTGTTCCTGTATGGCCACAAATGTTTTTAATTTCTTTGGGAAGGGGATTAAAGTGAGAAGAGGTGTGTCGAAAGTTAAAGTAAGAATTGTAACCAGCCAAGGAAGTAGTACTTGTGATTAAGTGTTTTTGTGCCCTGTTTCCTAAGGTTCCAGATTGCTACTAACCTCAGTGTGGAGCGTTATGCCCTGGTGTTTGGTGTGAACACTTTCATTGCCTTGGCACTACAGACTCTGCTCACTCTAATTGTGGTGGATGCCAGTGGTCTTGGCTTGGAAATCACCACTCAGGTAAGAGTGGTAGCTTCATTCCCAATGATGTTGCTCCCATTTGCACAGAATAGGGCTGCCAAAATGTCATCCTGGCAGGTGGTTATGTCTGGAGCCCATTTCTTCTCGGATACTTATTTGAGGTTAAGGCTACCCTATTTTATGTTGAGGTCCTGAGTGAGTGATGTCTAAGATGGGCCTTAGTGAAGAGGTTATATGGCAGGGGCTGCCCTTCCTCCCACGCAGGTTGCCCTTCATTGATTGTTTTCAATCCCAGTTTTGTTTTCTCTATATACTGCACCTCACACCTAGGGGGCTTTCTTTGTCCACTATTCCTGATTTCTCAGCCACTTCCTTTTAAAGACCACTTGAAATCCTGTCTTCTTCAGGAAGCCCCTTCTGACTTCTAGAGGACAAATGTGAGGACTACTTACTCTTCCATTTTGACCATATGAATATCTTTTTTTTAAAAAAAGGCAGTTGGGGTTAAGTGACTTGTCCAAGGTCACACAGCTAGTAAGTGTCAAGTGTTTGGTCTGAGGCTGGATTTGAACTCAGGTCCTCCTGACTTCAGGGCCAGTTCTCTGTCCACTGCACCACCTAGCCGCCCCTATATGAGTATCTTGAAAGGAGGAAAAAAGATTTGTGCAAATGCCTGTGGACAATACAAATACTTTCATTCATTTGATGGTTGTCCTGCACACATAGCCCTCTGACTCCAAATCTGTGATCTGATTACTACTCTACCCTGCCTCCTCTGATTCATTCAAGTCTGGAAGGGACCTCAGAGGGTAGCTGGTCCAGTCCCCCCATTTTACAGATGAGGAAACTGAGGTTACACAGGTAGTCAGTTTCAGAACCAGGATTTAAACTTTGGACTTCTGGCTCCCAGTTTCCAGTGCAGCACATGGGATGGATAAACATTCCGGGGCCTGTGAGGGTTGTATGAGCGCTGTATCCCACAGAGTCTGCCCCCAGCCCCTTTGTGTGTGTGCAGGCATTCAGTCAGTCTGACCAGATGCTGTTGGTAATGTTGTCCTCTTAGCATAGAGGTTGGCTTACGCTTTGTTGCTCTCTGTTGGAGAGACAGCCAGCTCTGACTCCACCTTTCATTATGGTGGCTTTGCTTTGAAATGAAGTCTGTTCACATGCTGTGTTTTCCTTTGTCACCGGGCTCTTTTTTTTTCCCCCGTAGTTCCTGATCTATGCCGGTTACTTTACACTCATAGCCATGATTTTCCTAATTAACGGTGCAGTCAGTGTTATAAAGAAGTACAGAAGGAGGCGAGATACAGAATCCAGCTCTCCAGTGACCACTGCATGACCCACAGCTAAGGGGAGATTGAAGCCTTAGAACCTGAGTGCTGCTTCATACAACAATGGTGCCTGGATGTGGAGTTCATTGTGTTTTCCCTAAGTTATAGGCTTATATTTATGACAGTGTTTGAATGTGCAATTCTCTGCTTCAGAGCAACCACTTGTAATCTGTGTTCTTGGTGTTCCGTAATTGATCCAAGAAGAAATGTTGATTTTATAGATTATTTATGTGAGATAATTTAAAGATGACTTCTTTCGCCTTGTTGTAAACATCTACTTGCTAAAGTGAAAGCATGGGATCCAGGGAAAGAGGACCAGGAGGGATGGTTCTGCATTTAATTAGAAAGCAAACTTAAGGTTTTTAAAGGTCATTCCTATCCCTGTGCCCTGGGATAGAGGTATGGACCCCATGGGTCAGCGCCCTTCAGACAGGATGGAGGTGCGCTACGGGAGTACCCACCTCTCTACCACTTATTCCCACAGTTTCTTTTTTTCTTTGTCTACACATATTCACTTGTTTGTGTAAATGATTGTTTCTATCACAAATGAGCAATATTTGCTGTGGTTCTGTTCCCTAAGGAATATATGTTGTGTGTTTATTTTAAATTATTATTTTCAGCTCACTGTAAGTGTTCTCTCAGATGTGTGTGTACTTTCACCAGTACATTGTACATTACTCATTATGCTTCCCAGAGAAGCTCATATAGGTACAAGGAAAGGCGAGCTTGAGGCCTGCTAACCCACTAAACAGTTGTTGCCGAATGAACGGACCTTATCAGAAAACTTAAGGGACACTTAATTCTTTAGTATGAAACATTCTGATTTTATGATGAAATGTAGAATGAATTGTGGGCTGTGGCTGCAACCAGCACATTTAGTGTTTGCTGTCCCTTTCTTTAAGCTCTGAACAAGAGGAAGATTTAAAAACACCTTCACTTCCTGTCTTTTTGTCATCTCCCTCTTATCCAAGATGAGATGGGCACCCAACACCATTCCAAGGTGGCGTTTTTGTTTTGTTTTGCACAAATGGGACCTTGTAATTTGTAAGACAGGCCTGGGATTGCCTGTTGGGTTCTTTACCTGAAATCCGCCTTTAAGTTCAGAAGTGGATTATCTTAAAGATTTGATTAAAATTAGAAATCAATGATCGTTTCTGTTTCCAAGTTACATGAAGGAAAACAAAATAGTTTCCACTTGATCTTGAAATGTCTCCTATGTGTGTGAAACATATCTGTATTTATGTCACATTTTGAGAAGCCAATGTGTGTGAAACAAATCTGTATTTATGTCACATTTTAAGAAGCCAATCAAGCTGAGATTGCATTGCTTTATTCTGGCTACTTCTGAGTAGCTGCTCCTACCTGAACTATGGTTTGTTTCTGTTTTTTGTAATTTTAGAAGGACATAACTAAACCACATTAATGACATAGGGGTGAGGGAGGGAGGGGTAGGTAGCAGCTTTCCATCTGCTTTGATTAGGACATGTACAATTTGATGAGGATAATAGGTCATTCCTCATACCTTCCTTTAAGATGAAGAAGATGGGCAGGAATAAGCTAGAGGAGAAAGGAGGAAATGATTCCTTTGAAGTTATAGCTTCTGGCTACTGGATTTGGGGGTTTCTTACATTATTTTCTCTTGTGGGGATTGTTCATTCTAAAATAAGCCCCAGTTTGTTGTCACAAAGTGTATTAGGGTGTATTTATGATGAAATAGATTGTGACCTAATCAAAATGTCTGGCAACCAAAGCATTTATTTCCCTGTTCTCTGAATGTCAGGTAGAATGCATAAACCTTTAGTTATAGAAGAAAAGAAGGTCTTACCTGTGCAGTGAGTTTTTAGAAGAATCCAATTTGCACAGATAAACTTACTGTATATGGTTTTGCAAACAAGTGGAAATTATCTGTTGTATGTTTTATTCAATTCTGTATAGATTATAAAATTATTTTTATCAAATAAATATTTTATAGTATGTTTTCATTTTTTGATTTAAAATATTTTAAAATCTAATATATGGAAAATAACTTTGTAATCACTTCTTTAAATCTCTTGTCTCCAGTTTCAGATTCAGCACTACCCCTATCCTCTCCCAACTTTACTAACTTTTAATTTTTCTACCAGTTTCTAACTTAGGATCTTTACCTTCCACTGTGTCTCTCTAACTTATTTTTTTTTTCAGTTTATCTAGTGTTCCATTACGTTATTTAGTATTACCCAGCTGTGTTTTGGTCTGCTACTGTTGCTTCTTTCTCCTATACATTTTTTTTAAAAAAATAACTAGTATTATTAATCTTATTAAGAATTCTTGAAGCCATTATGCTAGATCTGGACTAGTCTTCTCTTTCCTGTGCTCATTAATGTTTTTCCCCTTCCAAAACCTAATTGATTAAATGCTTTTGTTAACTTATCATCACCAAAACTTTGGTTAAAATTTGATCTGAACAATTGTTCTTTGTCTTCTAGTCCTGTGGTTTTTGTGTCCTTGTTCTCTTGCCCCATATACCCCCATTCTCCTTGTTTGGATTGTAAGCTCTCCAGGCAGGACCATTTTTTCCTTGTAATTACACAGCTCATGATCAGGCCATTATCAGTGCTAAAAGATAAATGGTTTGTGTGTGGGATGGGTTCCATCTATTCACCTGCCAGGACTATAGCAAAAATGCCCATCATTTTTAGGAAGACTCTTTAATTTAAGACACAAATTAAAAATAATGTACCAATGAACTCTAGTCCATTAGATGCTTTATTCCAATAGACCCCCAAAACAGTGTGGTTTGTTGATTGAACTTTGGTGACAGCTCTTTATTACCCAGTTTGGGGGGATATAGTTTCAACGATGCAGCTTCATATTATCAATTCTCTAAGGTACAATATCTCTGAGACTTTTTTTCTTCAGACAAGTACCCCAAATTTCCATTACATAAGCATTAAATCCCATTGTAAGAGTTTATGATGGGGTGATGAAGGGAATCTAAATATTTTCTTTTATTGGTTCAATAAAATCAGATGAAGACCAGCAGGCTAAATTTTGTTCCTAACTGTATGGGAAATGGGAAACTCAATGGGAAATAAATGAGGTTAGAGCAAAAGAAATCCCTTTGTCTTAGGGTTGAGATGCTTCCTATCATAAACTCTGAAGCTCTGGTATATATGTAAAGAATCGGGATGTCCCAAAAGAAGTGTGATCCAAAGTCACTGAAAATAGCAAATGAAAATCTGAACAAACACCTATAAGAGTCACTAACGCTGTTTGTTTTTTCAAATTCTAAGTCATATTTTTACTTAAGTTTAAAGGATTCCGGTCTTTATCCTAATGGCCACGCCTTCCACCATGGCAGATCTCCACCCTTCTCCACTGCAGTGGACAGCCTTAATGAGGTCCCCCAAAAAATCAAGTTGTGGCCAAGCTTCTTACCTTTCAAGATCCCCTTCAAATATGACTAGATTGATTGGACTGACAGCTGATGTGCTGGTTCCCTCTTACTGACCTGATACTTTCCAGCTTGGGAAGACCTGCACTTTGCTGCCATAGTGAGAACCCAGGGTCACCTCCATATCACTGTGAGATACTGGTTTAAGACTAGAGTGATAGAGAAAACAACTATAGAATAATTCTTTTAACCTGTTATAATTGTGGAAGGCTCTATCTGTTGATACTGCATATAATGTTTTTCCTATAGATATTAGAGGAGCAGCATAGATGATTAGTGGATAGGGCGCTAGGGTTTGACTTGTCTACCTTGGGTACTTATTAACTGTGTGACCCTGGGTGAGATACCTAACCTTTCTGTACGCCTAAGTTGCCTCATGGCTGGACTCACTGGTCTTTGAGGTCTTTTCTAGCTCTCAATCTGTTATCCTACAGCCTAATTATTTTCACAAGTCTACGTATTTGGAGGAGGTGTTTGTCTTTTTACTAGAATGTATTTCATTTCCAGGCTAAACAAATTTAGAGTGAAAGGTTTAGCAGAACCTTTCTAATGGAGTGCTATTTTAATTAAAATAGGTAGAAATTAAGAGTCATTCTCTGCATGGTAACCTTATTAAACCTATACCCCAAAAAGTTCAAGGATGGAGAAAAAGGACACATATGTACAAAAATATAGCAGCTTTTTTTGTAGTAGGAAAGAACCAGAAATGGGGGGAGTGCCCATTAATTGGGGATTGGCTGAACAAATTATGATATATGAATATAATGGAAAGAAAGAAACAAGCATTTATTAAATGCTAACTATATTCCAGGCACTTTGCTAAGTCCTTTACAAATATCTCATTTGATCCCCACAGCAATCCTGTGAGGTAGGTGCTATTATCCCCATTTTACAGCTGAGGAAACTGAGGCAGGTAAAGATTAAGTGACTTGCCTAGAACCACACAGCTGGGACATGTCTCAGGCTGGTTTTGAACTTGTCTTCCTGACTTGAGGCCCAGTGGTCTACTATGCCACCTAGCTGGGATACTATTGTTCCAGAAGAAATGATGAAGGGGACTGTTTTAGTGAAATCTGAGAGAACTGATAGAGAGTGGAGTGAACAGAACCAGGAGAACATTTGATATAGCAACATTACTGTAGAATAAAAGAACTCTGAAAGACAAGAATGCTGATTAACACAATGACCAACCATGCTTCCTACTCACCTCTTGAATGAGAGGTTAAGTTAAGTTAAGGCTCAGTTAAGGATGAGGCATATATTTTTTGGATACAATGAGTGTAGAAATTTGTTTTGTTTAACTGCATATTTGTTACAAAGATTTCATTTTATTTTTTCTCCCAATGATTAGGGGTTGGGGTATGAGAGAGAAAATTTATTTTTGTTCAATAAAAAAGTACTTAAAAATTATATCAGCAATCTAAGAAACTAAAAAAAAAAAAGTGGATAGAAGTTGCAAAGAGGCAAGCTTAGAGTTGATGTATGGAAAATCTTGGCAAAGATTAGAACTGTCCAAAGTGGGCTATGTGGATAGGTAGTAGATTCCCTCTCACTGAAGGCCTTCAAGCCAGAGTTGGTTGATCTGTTGGCCACATTATAGAAGTGATTCTTGGGCAAGTATGGGTTAAACTCAGATTCTGTGGCTGGAATTGTGGGTGACATTCTCTGGAGGTGAATGAGAGATAAATAGTGTTTTGGAGGTCCCCAGTCATTTTATTCACATTGCACAGAATATATAACCTGAGCACAGAGAGTATCTACTGTTGTCAAAGTTCATGAAAAAAAAGGCATTTCTCTGTGTATTGGTTCCTAAAAAGGATATATACTTATCAGGGAAAAGATTTTCAAATTGAACTTCTTAAGAAAGTGTCCAGCCTAACAGGAATGAAGAGTTATAGGGCTTCTCCTTAATCCTCCCAGGCTGGGGGATTCTGAACCTGAACACTTTAGCTAGGATATACTAGTTAAAATGGGCAGCAAGGTGGTGCAGTGGATAGAGTGCTGGGCCTGGAATTAGGAAGACATCTTCCTGAGTTAAAATCTTGCCTCAGATACTAGCTGTGTGACCCAGGGCAAGTCACTTCACTCTGTTTGTTTCAGTTTCCTCATCTGTAAAATGAGCTAGAGAAGGAAATGGCAAACTGCTACGATATCTTGGCCAAGAAAATCCCAAATGGGATTTTCACAAATCACAGTTTGACGTGACTGAAAAGCAACTGAACAGCAACAACATTAAAGTAGATGCAGGCTCTGTCACCAACCAGAGCAGGAGGTACACTGGAGTGCAGTCTTTTAATCCCATCAGGAATGATGCCCCTGGACTTACACCATATTTTCTTATGTTGGCATAAGAATTGTCACTGTCCATGGGTTGATACACTTTTAGGAGTCAGAAGTTGAAGATAATGACACTACCCGTAATATGTGGATAGATTGAGAAGTGTGGCCAGTATCTGGAAGGTCAGTGGGAGAATCTGGTATCTCAGATACTGGACCACCTCAGTTTATAACATTCAAAGAATTTGTAAAAATTAGGACCTAGATAAAATGTGGGATAAAGAAATTTAAAATCTTACCTTAATTTGACTAGTCAGAAGTGTAACATTTTCATGAAACTAATATGGAAATATATCAACAGACAGACCTGATTAGATCACACAAAGGCATACTATGATGAATTGAATTATATTTGGGTTGGAGAAATCATACAAAAGAGAACTTTTTTGATTCCAGTGTTTATTTAACATAGTGCCTGGTACATAGTGGGTGCTTGATACTGAGTTGCCAACAGAATTGCAAACTGTTAACAACTATCATGAGATATAGATTCAAATCACTAATTCTAAAAAATGCAAATCAAAATAATTCTAAAGTTTTATTTCACACCTAGCAAATTTCTGAAGAAGTCAAAAGTTGAGAATAGTCAGTGTTGGAGAGATTGTGGAAAGACAGGCAGACTAATAACACATTGTTGGTGAAGAAATGAATTGGTCCAACCATTCTGAAAAGCAATTTGCAATGATGCTAAGAAAGTGACTAAAATGCCCATACCCTTTCAATGGAGAGATGATCCCACTGGTAGGCAAACACCTTGAAGAGACAAAAAAAAAAGGCCCCATATACATATAGGCTCACAGATTTCGAACTGGAAGGAATTTAAGTGATCTTCAAATCCAACCCCTTCACTCAACAAATGAGGAAGGTCAAGCCATAGAGATAAAGGGGCTTGCCCAAGCTTAAATGGCGTTAAGTGATAGATGCAAGATTCAAACCCAGGTCCTCTTCTCCAAAGCCTATGTCCTTACCACTGTACACAGAACCTTTGAAATATATTTGTAGCAACACTTTTTGTAGTAACAAAGTAATAGATAATCAACACCCATTTGTTGGTGCCAACCGATTAGACAATGGCTAAACAAATTACAGTGCACGAATGTAATGAAATATAGTAATGCCTTTGATCTTCTTGGAGTACATGTCTATACTGTAAG